CTGACACAATATAATTATAGTGCTCTTTTACATAATTGTTACAAGAATACCTAAGCACTTAAATAAACTTAAATATATATTAGCTAGTTTTACCATTTTACAAGTATTTACAGAAAAATCAATGTTAGGATAAACAAGTTCAAATGGACATGAGGCAGGAAGTGTGTCCAATGTTAAGAAATACACATCCCTCCCCACTCCTTCAATGGTTTTTCCTTTTTCAAAAGTTTTAAAGATAAGTGTGTGTGCAGAGTAGGCCTCAGTATATATTAGGCAAGTAAACATTCATCTAAATCCTTCATCTTAGGAGGTAGTTCAGATGAGACCATGGAAAATATTAGGGAGATATTATAGACTGAAAAGTTACAGAAAGTTTATAGATAGGAAGCTCTAATTATTGGAAATTATTTGTGAAACCTTGGACAATTAAAATAGATGAAATGCATTTTTATTTTTTTATTTTTTTATTTTTTTAATTTTTATTTATTTATGATCGAGAGAGAGAGAGAGAGAGAGAGAGAGAGAGAGAGAGAGAGGCAGAGACACAGGCAGAGGGAGAAGCAGGCTCCATGCACCGGGAGCCCGATGTGGGATTCGATCCCGGGTCTCCAGGATCGCGCCCTGGGCCAAAGGCAGGCGCCAAACCGCTGCGCCACCCAGGGATCCCCTGCATTTTTAATACATGGTGATAATGTGGTGAATTGTAAAAGGTGTGTGTTAGACCTAAGCAAATGAGGCTCGTTACCAGCATTAACTAGTTATATCACTCTAGTATAGGGACTCATCTCTCTGAATTTCATTTCATACATTTCTAGAATGTGGACAGTGTACTTAAGCTTCAGGGATATTGTGAAGAGTTGAGAATGTACATAAAATGTGTAACACATGGGCACCTGGGTGGCTCAGTCGGTTAAGCAACCAGCTCTTGATTTCAGATCAGGTCATGAGCTCAGGGTTGTGGGATCAAGCCCAAATCAGGCTCTGCTCTGGGCTTGGAGCCTGCTCAAGATTCTCTCTCTCCCTCTGTCACTCTTTCCCCCAAAATGTGCAACACAAAACTGTCACTCAATAAATATTAGCCTTATTGGTAGATTTACATAAAACCACTATAGAGCTACCCTATGACCCAGTAATTGCACTACTAGGTATTTACCCAAAGGATACAAACATAGCGATCCCAGGGGGCACCTGCACCCCAATGTCCATAGCAGCAATGCCCACAATAGCCAAACCATGGAAAGAGTCCAGATGTTCATTGAGAGATGAATGGATAAAGAAGATGTGGTATATATATATATATATATATATATATATATATATATACACACACACACACACACAATGGAGTATTAATCAGACATCAAAAATGAAACCTTATATGTGCAATGATGTGGATGGAACTAGAGGGTATTATGCTAAGTGAGATAAGTCAATCAGAGAAAGATAATTATCATATGATTTCACTCATATGTGGAATTTACTAAACAAAACAGGGGATCATAGGGGAAGGGAGGGAAAAATAAAATAAGACAAAAACAGAGGGAGACGAATCTAGGAGATTCTTAATTCTAGGAAACAAACTGAGGGATACTGGAGGGGAGATAGGTGGGGGATGAGGTAACTGGGTGATGGGCATTAAGGAGGGCACTTCATGTAATGAGCACTGGATGTTGTGTGCAACTGATGGAATCACTGAACTCTACTTCTGAAACTAATAGTACACTATATACTAATTAATTGAATCTAGAAAAAAGAGAAACAGGAAAAAAACACTATAGAATTCAGAATTCATAAATTATACTGCCAAAGTAATCTGAATAAAGTGGGTCCCCTGTGTATTTAATGTGGGAGAAGTGATTCATTCGTAAGCTCATAATCACACACTGGTAACGTGAACTTCTGCAGTGCATGAAGGTATGAAAAACAAGCAGTGAAATGCACTGCCCTGCTCAGAAATACTTCTGAAAAGTAACAGGCAAGCTTGGCACATTTTACTGTGGCAATTTTCTTTGCTGCTTGACCTAAGGAATTTTGAACACTTCCTCCAAAAAACACACCCTAAAGCTGTTGTGAAAGTCCACACAAATTCAGATAGTTGGATTTAGGGAGATTTAAAATCTCCTTGTGGGTACTGGTGCTCCCGTAACATGGGGCTCCAAGAAACTCGCTTGTGTTTTACAAATGAATGCAACATAGGTTCTCTCAGCCATCTGGGGTTTACTGGTTATTAAACAACATGAAGGTGTCCCTGCCAACAAGCATGATGAAATGAGAGTGCAGTGATGTCTGAGGCAGAGGGGAAGATCTACCAAGGTCAGCTCTAAACTGTGTCACAGAAAAATAATTTTCCACCTATTAATGGTCTGTTTCTGTCCCTTCTCCAAATTTGTATGTGGAAGCCCTCATTCCCCCTGTAATGGAATTTGGAGGTGGGGCCTCTGTGAGGGGAGTAGGTCATGAGGGTAGAGCCCTCACAGATGGGATTAGTGCCCTTATTAGAAGAGACATGAGAGAAATGATAGCTCTCTCTACCACGTGAGGACATAGCAAGGAGGTCCTTTGAAATCCAGTAAGGGGCTGTCACCATGTACTGAATCTGCTGCACTTTGACTTTGGGACACACAGCCTCCTGACTCTGAGAAATAAGTGTCTGTTGTTTAAGCCACCTGGGCTATGCCAGTTTGCTACAGTGGCCCAAGTGGATGTCTACACTGCCTTTATCACTTTTCTGATCAGGCAGCTGGGTCTGTTTGCCAACCTGACTCAGCTTGGACTCAAAGGTTCAGACAAGGAAGACAATAGAGGACTCTGTGACTCTGCTCTGTAGTACGTATGTAGGTCAAGTTCGAAAGAATTGAGGGGCACCTTTCTTGAGTAGCTGTGCGGGTAACCAGTGTACTGACATCATCCCAACTAGAGGATGTTATGAACATCCCATGTGCTAACACTGCATTTGAGGCAACGGGGGGAACTTGTTTACTTACCAAAGCATCTGACATCCTTCACAGAATAATGCAGTAACAGTATGGGTGCTAGACACAGATGGGTTTGGGTTCAAATTCTGGCATGGCTGCTTTCCAAGGTAGAGACAGTAGTTCAACTGCTTAACCTCCCTAATTTTTAATTTCTTAATTTCACATGCAAAATGGAGACTTAAATAGAACTTGCCTTCTCGGGTGAAGTAGTAAATGAGACAAGAAATGTAAAGTGCTGAGCATAGCATCTGGAAAATACTGAGCATGCAAACATTCTAGCTGCTGCTATTGTTATTTTCATAGTTGGTCAGAGTATATGCTCCCTCTTTGTGCCTCAAGGAAGCATTTAAAGAGGGTGGGGTCAAAAGCTGGAAGTTTCCAAGGAGCCCACAGGCCACAGAAATGCCTGCCTCAGTAACAGAGATCCAAGTTAGATGGAAGGAAGATCTGGGGGATGATGTCTTGCCATGGGGGACCAAGTCCATCCCTGATAATCAAAGTCAGGTAAGTTAGTGTCTTTCGATATTCTAGGTTGCTACCAATGACCAACACAATTGAAAGCACTACTTTAAGCAGCTCTGTCTCCCAACAGTGTCACACTTCTAAAAATCTGTGTCAAGTATCCCCTAAGGGCAACGAAAAAGAATTCCATTAGATGGACTTATTCATGAAATTTAGGAGCAAATAGTCTATGGAGTGACCTCTAGGATCAGCAAGTCCACTAAGCTATCAGTTCAATAATACAGGGAATATTACTAGGCTAAGATGAGGCCGAATTTCTCAAAGGAGCACAAACTGTTAAATCGAGGTCATGAGCTTTGCATGTGAATATCTGGAGTGACTCAGAGATACATCACTCAACTCTGGCTCTGCAGGACATGCCTTAGATTGAGGTCTGAGTCAGAGTACAAAGACGTGGAATGCAAGACTAATTTAAAGGAACTCAGAAGTCCTTTGAGAAATTAAGTTTCTCTTGCTTTCCGTTGCCCTTAACGGATGAACACACCCATTACCCTTCCGGCCCCAGTGGTTGTTGTGATCCATCTTGGGAAGGAAAGAGGTATTATGTTCTCCTCCTTTCTCCATGGGGAGTGATGGGTAACAGGATGATGTCTGAGTGTGGTGAAGTCTTCAACCCACATGAGAACTCCCGAGGCCAGCTGCTGCTGTTCTCTTGAATTCACAACCAGCTCTTAGAATTTCTCACAATCACTGTCAAAAAAAACCTCTTCTTATGGGCGATAGGGAAAAATAACTCTATTTCAGAAGTAGGCCACTGAGCAGAGTTTACATAACGAGGAAAGTGAGAAGAGCATTCTCTCCAGGAGCTGTGGGTGAGAAGTTCAGAGCTGGCTAGTACCTCCCTCCATGCACAGGATCCCAGGGGATCTAGATGTCTCTAGGCTAACTGAGGCTATGAGTTGGTCTTAAGGAGTCTGGCTATGGCCCACTATTTTAGATAAAGTCCAATTATTAAGTAATTTTAAATAGATGAAGCTTTTTACCCATTTGAAGCTTTTGGAATAACTGTTGGAAATGCAGATTACAAATCAGTGACAGCCCATCCCAAATGGATTCTGGTTTTAAATTTCATTTCCAATCAGTTAAAATGAAGGTACTATTATCCAGTTGGCTGCTGTCAGTTTCTCTTTTTTCTTTTTTTTAAATTAATTAATTAATTAATTAATTAATTATTTTTTTATGATAGTCACACACACACACACACACAGAGAGGCAGAGTCATAAGCAGAGGGAGAAGCAGGCTCCATGCAGCGGGAGCCCGACGTGGGATTTGATCCCAGGTCTCCAGGATTGCACCCTGGGCCAAAGGCAGGCACCAAACCGCTGTGCCACCCAGGGATCCCCTGCTGTCAGTTTCTAAGGCATGTTTTTGCCTATGAAGAATCCACTGGTCCGTTATACAGAATAATAGCTTGAGGTTTTCATCAGAGAGCTAAAAGTAGAAAACAAATAAGCAAAAAAAATGACACACACACATATGTACACACATTCAATCAACTGTACCTTCGCATGTTTCTTCTTTAAAGAATTTAGCTCCTTCTGTTGCTTCTTTAAGTGCTTCAGGTAAGCCTGTGTAAGAAACAAAGAGGGTCCCAAATCAATTTTTTGTAGCCACAATGAATACATCTGGTGAGAAACAAAAATATGTTGGTTTCACCAATATGTGTAATACAAGAGTGCTTGCAAAATGATTGAGCAATTTTACCTTCATCTGCTTTAAATCTTCTATCCTCACTTGAGGGATAAGTTCGATACCTTAAAAAAAATTAAATCACTGTGTGTATTAAAAATTAGAGAGAATAACTGATAATACAAAATTCACCATTTTGAAATCTCATCTAAAGACTTTGAAGCACTTTATATGTAATGCTATGGATATAAGCATCCTAATTTCTTACTACAAAGCAATTAACCAGACACTTAATTGGTGTGCTTATTGTCTTCGGTTCCTTACGAGCAGAGCCTGAGGTGGGGTTCTGTGTGCACAAGACTCACTGAGGGAAGGCTCTCAGGAGAAACCCCCAAGGGAGTGAGAGAGGCAGAAGAGAGCAGAGGAAGAAGGCAGGGTGCTTTTCTAGCTGAAATCCAACCTGAGCCTGATCCTGCAGGAGCTTTTTAGCATAAATGGCCATCCAAAGTTGCTCTACCTTGAGGTGAGGAGACTGGACTTTTGTAACCTCATAACAGTCACCCAAAGGCTTCATAGGTTGTACAAAACCTTCTAGGCATTTCCAGGGCAATGGAACTGTCCACAGTCTGAGGACAATCCTCCAAGAAAGTTCCAGCTATTGTTTGCAATCAGCCAAATACACACAGCAGCTGGGGCAGGAGGTGTCAACCCAAAAAGGAGATCTGACCAGGCACCACAGCATCTATTAACAGTACTTTCATCTTTGTGTTTCAGGGTATATCATATCAGTCAACTACCTCCCTCCTCATCGTCATCAAGGAACCAAAAAAAAAAAAAAAAAAAAGAAAGAAAGAAAACAACCCACATTATCTTTCCTCAGTTTCTTTTACCAAATTTAATTTTTAAGCAATATGCTATTGGGCACAGCCATGCCTTCAACATACAGGAAATCCTGAAATCAAACCACTGTATAACAGGATACTGTCATGGGGACCCAGAGTAACATACTAAATTATCCTGCTACTGGACTGATGCTAGGCCAGGTGTCGTCATGGCAACCAGAGTTGTAGAAGAATCCCCAAACACTTTCTGTTTGACCACAGATTTTCATCTTAGACAAAAATAAATAAATAAATAAAAAGAATAAAAAAACAATGAAGGCGTGCTCTGTACTATAATAGATTTCCATTAGAATCCTCAAAGCTAGGTATGAGATAGTCAAGAAAGATAGCCATTGACTCCCAGGCTTTTGTTTTTCAGTTTTGTTCATTTTAAGAAGAGGTGCACAGCCAGTGTGAGGGTGGGAAGGTGGGAAAAGGAGTCGTGACTAAGAGAAAACATAAACACTATGTGATCATAACATTCATGATAGGGCGCCCAGGGAACATAGGCTTGATCTCTCAAGTCTGATGTCACAAGCCAACTCCCTGCTTCACTGTAGCCAGTGAGAGGCACTGTAGGGTAGAGATATGAACCCTTGTCTGTAAAATGAACAGAGAACTGGGATGCATGCAAGGTCCTCCAGAGAGCTAGCAAATGTTAAGAGTTAACCCAGTCCCAGAAGACTTCTTTTTTGGTCTTGGTTAAAGTACATCTTGACCAACAAGAACCCACGAAAACATCAACTTTTGTTTTGCATTTTTTGAGAAAGATAGAATAATTTGTAAAAAATTTTAGTTCTTAGAAATGATTCAACTAGGAAACACCCACACTCTGCAGAAGAGGAATTGGTACATGCTCAGTTCCCTCTGTTGAGCCTACAGAAGTGTGTCTGATAGAACTTTCATCAACAGTGGCAACGGTCTATAATGGGAGGGGTCCAATGGATAGTTACTAGCTATGTGTGCCTCTTGGCACCTGAAAGGTAGCCAGTGCACCTGCAGAGTTCAAGTGCTCATTTTAAAGTTGAAATTTACAAAGCCACATGTGGAAGTAGGCTTAATTAAGTACTGCATATTGGGCTCCAAAGACTTTGGCTAAATGAAGTTTCACTATGTAAAGTTTCTGTTCTTATCAACAAGAGCTCAAAAATAACTTGTTTGCTCTGAAGTCATAATTTGGAGACTAAGTTGGAGATTGAAAAAAAGTAAAGAAAATTAAAGATCTGAGAGAGAGAGAGAGAGAGAGAGAGAGAGGAAGAGAGTGAGAGCGAGCATGAGTGGGGCGAGGGGCAGAGGGAGAAGCAAACTCATCGCTGAGCTGGGAGCCTGATGCAGGGCTTGATACCAGGACTCCAGGATCATGACCTCAGCTGAAGGCAGACAGCCACTCAGGTACCCCATGTTTAGTTTTCTTAATTCCTTATTCCTCAGTTTAAAAAGATAATCAAGCAGCATTGGTGCAGTTATTGCTGTTGGGCTGCATGTCTAAGAGAAACCATTTAGAACTTTCTTACCTCCACGGATATGGGCAGCATTTGCTATACCCATTCACCTAGCTTTCTCTACATCAGCCCACTCTGACCTCCACCTGCCAGCACCTGCATTTCCTTCCCTGAGGAAATTACCTAAGGCCTCTCCCTCTAAAACATGCTTTACCACCCTTCTGTCAATCTAGAATCACAGGGGAATTTATCCCTCCTACAGGAGCTCTCCAAAAGGCTTAGTTGAAGTAGATGTTCTCCTGCCTCTGAGTTGTGTGTCCAACACCAGCCCTCAGGATGTTCCCAGGAGCACTGAGCTCCAGGTGCCTGGATGGAACTTGGAAACACTCTGATCACTGGCCACCTTCTCTTCCTTGTGCTCCTTCCCCAAGCCCCTACCTGTATCCATCGTACTCCCCAAATAAACTACTTTTATTTGAAACCTTGTCTCAGGGTCGGCTTTGGTATGACCCAAATTAAGACAGTTCTCTAGAAGGAAGCTTGCCTTCTCAAATGACACGTCTTCCCACAAAGGCCACCGGAGTAGTTTATTTTCTGACTCCCTTGACCTCCGACTCCCCAGTTCATAGATAGGAGTGGTAAGAACACCTACAAACTTCCCTCTTGCACTTCCCTGCCATGATCCTTAAAGCTACGATGCAAAAGAACAGGCCCCTCACTTAGACCAGATTCTCTTGAGCCTGGTTACCTACACATGTGTCCCTCTAAATTGTACATTCATCTTCTCATGGACGACAGCATCCAGTCATGGTTTTCCCATGTAGGCATTCCCAAGCATCCAACAGGGTGATTCAATATCCATGGGAAGAATCCATTTTATTACTTCCTATTCAAGTCAGACCTATGTTTCAAGGCTCAGCTCAATAGGGATCTCATCTATAAGGCTTCTGTGGGACACTTGCTGGAAGACATGCCCTCCCCCCTCTTGTTCTTAGGGTCAGCTCTCATTGACCACTGCCTGGCCTGGCTATTGTGCAAAGCCTGTCCTACATTACCCTTCTAGCCACATGAGATCCTTGAAGGGGTGAAGGCAGTTCTCATAGAACCTGGTACTGTCACTTAGAGTAGGCTTCCAATTTTCCTAAATAAAAGGCCAAAGGAAATAGCATGTAGACTCTCTTTCTCAGGGTGTCTCTTGATACTGGACTTGGCTTCCTCCAATGCAATATTTGGAACCAAAGGTGAAGCCTTTCTCAATCCAAACATGTTCCTTTCTAGAACTAGGATAACTTTTGTCTTCTGTAAGCTGGTCACACTGAAGTTTTTCAGGCCACTTAACTCATGGTAATTACTAATGTCTTTATGTACTAGCGGGCATGATGGTTTGAACAGAACAAGAACTTTACACAAAAACTCTCCCATTTTCTACTGTCTATATTTGTTTGAATGGCTAATGTGACTAATGACCAGTGCTGGAATGGAATACCCAAAGCCTTGTATCATGAGCTTGCTCATGTCTCCAGGGAGGAAGAGACAAACAGCTGCAGGCAAAGTACAATTTGGGCTACTTCTGTGCAGTCTCATTTTCTAATTTGTTTCACAAAGCTGCATGCACACTTAGTATCCTACTAAATTACTATGCTGCCTTGGTTTAGAAAAGCCTGTCATTTCTTACCTTAAACTGCAGCACTGTGTGTACTTAAGTGTACAAACAACTTGATTCACTAACACCAAGGGCACTGAATTCACATATAAATGGGAAATATACATACTGAGTAGAAAACCATTAGAAAAAAAGACAAATTCTTATCAAAGTAAGAAGAGTGAATTTGGTAAATGATTCATAATCGAGGAGGATATTCAAAATGTTTAATTGCCAGTGTGGGATGGGCACCATTCAATCAGGATGAATGCCTGGCCAGTAAGCATGGAAGTCAACTTTAAATAAGCAATATAGTTCTGCCCCTGCACACCAGCTGAATATTAGCACATGGAACACATAATTTTTCGTGGTGACACCTCGTAGGATACCTTGTTTCATCCTTAGGTAACCATATAGAATTGGCCTTCAAATATCCATCTGATAAATTTACAAAGAATCATGGATGCTAAATGTCTGCTCATGCAGACAATTTGTCAAGAAGGGAATCTAGAAATATATGAACAATGATGATACTGTTGGTTCATGAGCCCACTGCCTGTTCAGATTAGTGCCTATAGTGGTATCCAGAAGACTGTGGGGATATCCAGAAGACTGGATGGTATCCAGAAGACTTGGCAAAAGTTACTGTGTGGAAGTTCTTTTCATTAAGGAGACTGAATTTAAACATTTTCTAAAACCATGGATATTGTACCCAGTGCCCCAAGGGAACCTAGCAGGGGATCTAGCAGATGACAAAAATGTTGACTCCCTGTTAAACACTCAGAGAAATTCAGCAGTTTGTCCAGTCTATAAGAAAACATGTTGTTATTGAATCTTGCAGGGCAGTGAAAATTGACTGAATTAGCAATTTTAAATAACTTTATAAAAGGCTCTTCAAAAAGAGTCTAAAATTGCAGAACAGATAAGGAGCCCAATCAGCTCCCCTTTACCTTTCTTGGCTTCCACACCAGACCCCATGGCTGCTGTGGTGGTTGGTCTGAGCTCGGAGCTGCTCTGTGGGGTCACATTTGCTTTGGCAGTGTTGGCTTTTCCTTTTTTGTCATTCTTAGAAGTATCGCTGGGCACATCTGCTATGTCACTCTGGAGCAGAAATGTTTATATTAACCTATATGAAAACCACCTCACATTCAACTGTCTTGCACTTTCTCTGTTTTACTGAATCCAGTTTGAACCACTCAATATCTCCCCTACAAGTCTCTTAATGCATCATTGCCTGGCAGGAGAAAAGATTACATGGTTTTCTCAGGCTGAGGCAAAAGATAAAGCCAAGGAAAAAAGATGCAACTCTTTTACATGAAGGATATGGTACAGGGTGCTTTAAAAACAAAGAACAAACAAGTATGCACGAAAATGGGAGAAGGCTGGATGCAAGACTGGTAAACAACAAAGAAACATAAATCTCAATTTCACTAATTCACTGAATTGGGTTAGCTAGTATTTTAGTGTATCACAAAAGCATCCTGTATCTTAAACATTCCTGAAAGCACTAGGATTTCCATTTCATTTATTAAACATGCTATACTTTTACAGACACTTGAAACTATTTTGTTAAATTGATAAATTAAAAAAAATAAATTGATAAATTCAATTTCAAAAACACTCTTCAAGTTTGCTATATCCATTTGTTACTTTGTCTTGCTCTTGTAATCACTGACCACTGAGCTTCCCCAACATGGGTCTCTTTAGTCAACCATTGCTACTTACAGTTTCAATGCCCATAGCTCTCATTTGGTCTGCTCTCTTTTCTGTAATGGAAAGAAATTTCTTTGGATCTGATAAAGCATCCACAATATCTGGAAAAAAAAAAAAAGTCAGGTGGCTTTGATTCTCTGTTTTACCGTTAACAGCCAAGAAAATTCAGCTAACAAACAATTCATAATCCTGAATCCCCGTTATGTCTTCTGTTAAGTACTTGCTCCTAGGACATATGACAAAGTTAGGAAAGCACAGCCTTTTACAGAAAACAAGAAATAAATAGGGCAAGGATCAAAGGCCAGATGACTTTCTCCTATTTTCTATTTGGTTTTTGCCCAAATAAAGAGGACAGGGTAGCAGAATAAGACAAGTGAATTGTCTTGGGTTCTTGACTATTTACTTGTGTGACTTTGAGCAGGCTGATTCATGTTCCCAGTTGAGTTTCTTCATCTGAAAGTTAGGATTGGTACCACCCACTCTGAAGGGGTGCGATGAGTACTCAATGAGATGATAAATGTAAACAGTACTTGTAACAGTAGACACAGCTGGTATCTAAGTCTTAGTTTTAGCTAAGAAGGTTAATACATATTTAAAGCCAATTTTGGTTCCATGATAGTAGAAATGTAGTATTTCTCCAACATACTCTCAGCTACCCCTTGTAGTTAAAAAGGTAAAATTTCATGTTTATATAATTTGAAGAGCCCAATGGGTACTTTCCAGCAGAATCTCTCATAATTTTGCATTATTTACCAATACTATAGAAGTAATATTTATTCTCATCACCTTAAAACAGTAGTTAATTTAAAATTTTCAAAAACTCTATGTATACTGGGGATCCCTGGGTGGCTCAGCAGTTTGGCGCCTGCCTTTGGCCCAGGGTGTGATCCTGGAGTCCCGGGATCAAGTCCCGCGTCAGGCTCCCGGCATGGAGCCTGCTTCTCCCTCCTCTTGTGTCTCTGCCTCTCTCTATGTCTATCATAAATCAATCAATCAATCAATCAATCTTTAAAAAAAAAAACCTCTATGTATATTAATTTCCTCCAGTAAAATCACCATCCTAATTACAGTCTTAAGATGATTTTCTCAGTTGACGGTTTTTCCTTTTATAATAGAAAATAATGCAAGCATATAATACACATTCAAACATATAAAATGTAAACATCTCCTCTCCTGCCAATCCTATACATAGTATATACTGTTATCCATTTCTTGTAGCCCTATTTAAAAATAAAACAAAACAACAATTCCAAATGGGTTCACAGTTTTCTGCATCTATTTTTTATTTTAAACTTTACGTATCTTGGAGACACTTCTTTTATCAGTAACGTAGATCTACTACATTACTTTTAAGGGCTGCTTAAATATTCCATTTTCAGAATGGTTATAATTTCTTTAACAGTGTTCCCTATTAAGAGACTATTAGATTACTTCTAGTACTTTGTTATTATAAAGAGTACTGTAGTGAAGATCCTGGAATGTTTAAATCTCAGAGCAGGCATCTTCAGTGTCCATAGCTTGATGCCTAGAGGTTAGAATGGTGTGTAAGGGTATTTGTCCTATCAGTAGTAGTATTGCCAAGTTGCCCTCCAAAGAAGTTTCATCAATTTGTTTTCTCCTCCAGGGGTGTATGAGAAGGTCTGGATCTAGTTATTACTTATGTCCCTAAGAACTCCTTGTATCCTAATAGGGAATGTGACCAAATTAGCTCTTAAATCTTGCTTAGGAAAAATGACAGATAATCATTTTTTGGAAGTCAAATTCTAAGAATATATTTACCTACTTTAAGTCTAAATTATGAACATTTTCAGGCATACGCAAAAGTAGAGAGAAAAGTAAAATAACCCTCCATATACAGATGAAGCCCTAACAGTTATTAATAGTCTGCTACATTTCCTTTATCTGCCATCCTCCCCTTTTTCCTTTCTTTCTTCTCTCTGCTGACACATTTTGAGGCAAATTCCAGACATTATAACATTTCATTCCTAGTTACTTCCCTATGCATCCTCTAAAGGACATTTTCTTTCATAACCAACCATACCAGCATCGTATCCAACAAAGTTGGCAGTAATTCCTTACTATGAATATAATGAATGGCCCATCTTAATATTAGTATTTCCCCTATTTAAAATTAATTTCTTTGAATCAAGATATAAAGCCCATACTTGGGTCTCTGATAATGATGTCTCCTAAATTCACTTTAATCTAGAGTAGTCTCTGCTACTATTTATTTTTCATAATGCATAGATTTGTGGAGAAGACAGATCAGGTACCCTATAAAATGTCCCAATCCTGAATATCAATGCTTCCTTGTTGTGTCATTTAGGCTTGAATTTTCTCTTTTTGTAAGAATACTCCAGGGGAGATCCTGTGACACGGATCTCTGTGTCATGTGGGTCACGTGGAAGCAGAAAAAGCCTGGTTCCCCCACTTGTCCTGGTGCTAAACTCACTGTGTTGGCTCAGAACTTTCACTCAATCTGTGTCTGACTCCTGGAGGCCTCCTCCTTACACTTGTACACACTGTGCCCACTGAACCCCCTGCCCTTCCCTGGAGAAGACCTACCTGGTGTAAGCTTCCCTGCACTCTCCCACGTTGGATATGCTTTGCCTTGGCTTCCCACTGCATAGCTCAGTCGATGAGCCACAGTGCTGGCTTGTTAGGAAACAAGTACTTGCTTATCTTTAATGATATATAATCAGTTAGAGGGTCTGGAATGTATGGCATTTTTGGGTGGTTACTGGTAGTCCTTTTAGTAGGAATAACAGATAACACTTTAATCACTTCCAGCCGATTATAAAACCAATTAAGATCTTAAAGTGTGAAATTACCTGTTAATCCTTCTATTTTTTTAATAATAAATTTATTTTTTATTGGTGTTCAATTTGCTAACATACAGAATAACATCCAGTGCTCATCCCGTCAAGTGCCCCCCTCAGTGCCCGCCACCCAGTCACCCCCACCCCCCACCCTCCTCCCCTTCCACCACCCCTAGTTCGTTTCCCAGAGTTAGGAGTCTTCCATGTTCTGTCTCCCTTTCTAATATTTCCTACCCATCTCTTCTCCCTTCCCCTCTATTCCCTTTCACTATTATTTATATTCCCCAAATGAATGAGACCATATAATGTTTGTCTTTCTCCGATTGACTTACTTCACTCAGCATAATACCCTCTAGTTCCATCCACGTCGAAGCAAATGGTGGGTATTTGTCATTTCTAATCTGTTAATCCTTCTAAACTAACAAAGCTACTTTCATTTCTGTATACTCTTGTGTCATTTTTTTCCACACAAATACATATTTTATATGGTTTACTTAAAATTATGTAATCTTTTTTTTTTCATTTTCATTTGGTTATCCCCATATAGTTTTAAATGGGGATGATAACATCCCCATTTTTTTGAATGATAACATTCCATTGAGTTCATGTACCAAACTATTCTCTACTGCTAGATATTTAGATGAACTTTCGATTTTTTTTTATAAAATACGGCTTTGCAAGAAATATATTAATGCAAAAAAAGATATATCATTTCCTTTATCAGAAAATTTGTGGTATAGATACGTAAGATAGCAACTTATATACTTGAGCATTACTAACAAAATTTGTTCTTGATAAGCTTTAAAATAGTTATCTAAGAATAATTAATGGAAGGGATGAGTATTAAGAAAATATAGCAGAATTATGAGAGTAGACTAAGTTGAGTAATGCCTTTCAAAATTCATGACCACCCAGGACCTCAGAACACAACCTGATTTATTTTTTTTAATTTATTTTTTAAAAATTTTTATTTATTTTTTAATTTATTTTTAATAAATTTATTTTTTATTGGTGTTCAATTTACCAACATACAGAATAACACCCAGTGCTCATCCCGTCAAGTGTCCCCCTCAGTGCCCGTCACCCATTCACTCCCACCCCCCGCCCTCCTCCCCTTCCACCATCCCTAGTTCGTTTCCCAGAGTTAGGAGGCTCTCATGGTTTGTCCCCCTCTTTAATTTTTCCAACTCAGTTCCCCTCCTTTCCCTTATAATCCCTTTCACTATTTTTTATATTTCCTGAGTGAAACCATATGATGATCATCCTTCTCCGACTGACTTACTTCACTCAGCATAATACCCTCCAGTTCCATCCACGTTGAAGCAAATGGTGGGTATTTGTTGTTTCTAATGGCTGAGTAATATTCCATTGTATACATAGACCACATCTTTATCCATTCATCTCTCGATGGACACCGAGGCTCCTTCCACAGTTTGGCTATTGTGGACATTGCTGCTAGAAACATCGGGGTGCAGGTGTCCCGGCGTTTCATCGCATCTGAATCTTTGGGGTAAATCCCTAACAGTGCAATTGCTGGGTCATAGGGCAGGTCTATTTTTAACTCTTTGAGGAACCTCCACACAGTTTTCCAGAGTGGCTGCACCAGTTCACATTCCCACCAACAGTGTAAGAGGATTCCCTTTTCTCCACATCCTCTCCAACATTTGTGGTTTCTTGCCTTGTTAATTTTCCCCATTCTCACTGGTGTGAGGTGGTATCTCATTGTGGTTTTGATTTATATGTCCCTGATGGCAAGTGATGCAGAGCATTTTCTCATGTGCATGTTGGCCATGTCTATATGACCTGATTTATGAGTAGGGTCTTCGCATATGCAATTAGTTAAGGATTGAGATCGTACTGGACTTGGTTGGGTAGGCTCTAAATCCAATGATTGGTGCCCTTGTAAGATGAGGAGAGGACACCCAGAGACTAAGAGGAAAAAGGCTAGGGGATGACAAAGAGAATGGAATAATGCAGCTACAAGTCAAGTAATGCTAAGGGACTGCCAGGAGCCACCAGGAGCTAGAAAAGGCAAGGAAGGATTTCTCCAAGAGCTGCCAAATCTATGATTTTAAGCTTCTAGTCTCCAGAACTGTCAGAAAATAATTTTCTGTTGTTTTAAGTCTTCCAGTTTGTGGTAATTTTTTTTTCCAGTTTGTGGTAAATTTGATTACCAATGGTAATTGAGAAAAAAAATTTTGTTTTTTGTTTGTTTCTTTAAGGAGACAGAAGTTTATTGAATACACTGCAAGGGAGTAGCAGGCAAAACAGCAAAGGAGAGG